TGTAACTGTTTATCTAAAGAAAGGCCCAAAAAATCAAATCGGCCGATATGACAGAATTTCTAATAACCAATACTAATGCTAATTTACGTCAGTCGATAAAATTGTGTAACGACGGATTATGTTACAATTACATCAAATATTGGAGTACAGTTGGGCGTAAATTATCCTAATTTGACGAAGTTCATAATTTAACGCACGATGATATCTTGTGAACTGTCGATTAGAATTACATGATTATGATACCATTCGATTCGTCTCATCGAGACGAATCGAACAGTGCCAAAATCATGTGATTCTGATCGATAGTCCTAGAGATATTCCATTTAACCAAAAAAGCCCAAGGTAGATATTTGACGCAGGTAAACGTTTACGATAAATATCGTTCAGAATCGCAAGATTTTGGTACCATTCGATTCATCTCTATAAGACGAATCGAATGGTACCAAAATCTTGCGATTATGATCGATGCATCACATGATATTTATCGTAAACGTTTACCTGCGTCAAATTAGGTACTATGTCAAATTAGGAACATAGTTTTTAGACAAGTGATGTCTCATGATTTAGTGATTAGAATTGGATGATTTTGTACCATTCGATGAGACGAATCGAATGATACTAAAACATCCAATTCTGATCGATATATCATGTGATATTTATCGAAAACGTTACCTGCGTCAAAATAGGTTACCTACCTTATTTATTGTTTTTGATATTTCACAAAATATGAAAAAAGAAACTATATGCTAAATAAAGTATAAAATTGTATCGATATTTGTTTACGACAACGAGCTTACAATTGTACAATAAGGTACACAGGGAATCAAATGCTTTCAAATTTTGTGCCTTTTTATTTCACTCCTCAATCGCTATATTGTAAATAAACTTTTTTTAAATTATTATGGCTGATCCGGTCTATAGTTTTGAAAAAGTCGAAGATTTCTTCTCACATTACGAGTCTTGGACAAAACTTGGTAATGTTCTCAGTCATAGCTATGATCCTAACATTCGTACACTTACCTTAATTATCGAAGGTGGATACCCTCAAGGTCAGTCATGTTGTCTCCTCATTCAGCTGCTTGGATATAGTGTTTTTCGCGTGCGCTTTGATCCAAGTAAGAGAAGCGCTGATGAATATATTACAAACAACACTCGAGCAGTAGTTATGGACACATGGGCAGATCTTCAGAATGAGTGGGGTCAATTTAACACAAAGTTTAATGACGGTCAAGATATAATTAGTATTGATACAGTACACATTAATGATAGTACACAGTACATAAAGATTGAAATAAGTCTTAAGCCTTTCTCTATTCGGGTTTATCGATTTGAGGGTGGACAATTATACTCAATTTGGACAACTAACGAGGAAATAGGATTACGTTGGACTGAAGTCAGAGATCAACTCAGTTCTGGTAGTGTTACAAATACTTTTAAAATAATTCAGGTGTTAAACAAACCTACAACTGCAAAATACGCAGGATTTGGTGAACATGGAGGTGTCGGCCTATTTAAAAATTCACAACAACTCACCTTCTTCAATTATGATAATTATGGATATGGTCAAGTAATAAATATGATAATTACTCATACATTTATTATGTATAACATTGTTACTTACATTAAATTTCTTTCTTCTCACATTATATTGTTCAATCAGATTTATGGCCAAGGACCTCTGGATCAACGCGAGCCTCTTTACCACTCAGATCCTTTTTTCATGGAATTCAATGGGGTTCCTGGAAAAGAATCGATCATTGGCATGTATATTGATAATTACTCACTTATTTGTATGGATATTGGCTATGAAAAGTCCGATAGAAATATGTTTGGCGTTAAATTTGGTGAACTCGATTATTACGTATTTTCTGGAAATGAATGCAAGGACATTATTAATAGTTTCACAAGTCTAGTCGGACGTTGTAGGCTTAAACCTCGTTACGTTCTTGGTTTCCATCAAGGGTGTTATGGCTGGACGAAGAGGCAGGATGTAGAGGATACCCTCCAAAAATACAGAGATAACAATATTCCAATTGATGGCCTTCATATTGACATAGATTCTCAAAACAATTATCAAGTTTTTACCTTAAATCCTGTAACTTTTCCAAACCCCAAAGAAATGTTTGATAATTTACGGCTTAATGGTGCAAAATGTTGTGTTAATGTTACTCCAATTATCAAAAAAGGTGATAATGATTATGTACCATACAAAGAGGCTATGGCGAATGGTTATTTGATTTTAGATCAACGTGTTCAAAGTTCTTCTGGTGATTTACTCCAGCAATACTACGAAGGAGGTCATGAAGTGATAGGAAAAATGACCATAGATGACAATCTCAGTGGTGTTTCCATACCATATACTGGCATGGAGGATTATGGTTATGGTAATATCGTCTTGGGTCACTATCCAGACCTTGGTAGGAAAGAGGTCAGAGATTGGTGGGGTAAACAGTATGAAACTCTTTTTTCATGGGGATTAGAATTTGTTTGGCAAGACATGACAACTCCAGCTATTGATAAAACTCGAGGTGATATGAAGGTGAGAAGTGATATTTATAAATGGAAATGTGTTAAATATAAAATAGAAACTCATTAACTAAACTAATTAACCATACTATTACGTTTTAGGGATTTCCTTTCAAACTTCGTGTTACAGACGATTCTTTATCTGCTACAAAACCTTCATTAAATTCTGCTCTCAAAGTGTGGAACCTTTTTTCTTATAATCTACATAAAGCAACATATCATGGCCTTAATCTTATCCCCAGTCGCGAAGGAAAACGCAATTTTATAGTAGGTCGTGGTAGCTTTACCGGATCCCATCGGTTTTGTGGTTTGTGGACTGGAGATAATGCATCAACATGGAACTTTTATCGGATTAATATTGCACAGGTAGTTTGAATTCTTAAATCTATTAAAGATAGAATTTGATGTAAGATAAATAACGTATCTAAATTATATCTTAGGTATTAGCCGTTGGACTTTCAGGACTTTCAATAGTAGGAGCAGATATTGGAGGATTTGGTAAAGGTGAGAATAATGGAAACTGGGCTAGTCCTGAACTGATTATTCGTTGGACAACAGCTGGATCATTCCTGCCATGGTTTAGAAACCATTATGTAAAGAAATCGATGAGACAATCAATGGTGTAAGGAAAATCCATGATGGGAAGTCTTTTCAAGAGCTTTATGTTTTCAAGGATTACCAAAATGCCTTTGGGGTTACAGACTATCAGCGAGTGTTCTATCGTTCTGTTCTTCCTGTAACCAGTCATTACATAGAATTACGATACAGGTTATTGCAACTTTGGTATGATTTAATGTGGGTGAATGTGCTTGAAAGTATGCCAATGTGTCGAGCGATGTTTATTAATGATCCACGTGATAGTGCACTTTACAATGATAAGATTGACTTTAACAGTAATCAATTCTTTGTTGGCAAAGATATGCTTGTAGCGCCTATAATGGACCCTGATGCTACTACACGAGATATTTATTTGCCAATCATAGATTACTGGTATAATTTTATGGACAGTAAATTCCCACTAGCAGGTGCAGTTGAAGGTGGCACAACAGTTCGAAATTTTGATGCACACATCGATGGTGATGACTATAATCATTTGGGGTTTATTGTTCCAGTATATATTCGTGCTGGAGCTATAATCCCGGAAATCCCTCTAGAGCAATGGGTAGGGCAACTTCACGAAAATGGTAAACCTTGCAATATCACCCTCAATATCTATCCGGGAATACAAGGCAATTATACTATGTATTTGGATGATGGTGTTAGTCTTTCTTCTGCACCACCTGATGCACCTCAATACAAATACATGGACCCAGAAGAAAAAAAGTGGGCAAAGGGAGAATACCGAGAAGTAAAGATCGAACATGTTCAGTCTGGAATTAATCGCGATATCACAATCTCGAGAGGTAGGGATAATTACACACCTCCTTTAGAAACATTCTACCGTGTGGCTATACTACATGATCCCTCAGAATCTTTTCAAGGTTCAAATGGACCTTTAATGTCCATCACTGTTAATAGTCAAGTGTTAAAAGATCCTAACAAGGATATGGTTTTAAGTAACGATAATATTAATCCTGTTAATAGTTGGTATTATGAACCATCAATTAAAATCTCTTATATTAAGGTTGTTGATACAAATACAATTACTATCAAACTCAAATATTATTCTGCATAGTATACTTTTCATATATCCCAAGCAAATAAAATTATTTTTACTATATTTACTATAAAAGTTTTATCCAGATTAGAATAAAAAAAAAGAAAAAAACAAATTTCGATAAATATTCACGTCAATATCTTTTATAATACTTCTAAATATGTCTGCAAGCACCGCACTCTTTGAACAAATTCTGAATAATATGAGGAGCTCAAAGGCGAAAAAAGACTTGTAATTGAAAAACTATTGTCGCAGCTGATGCTGAAAACGGCTGATGCTGAATTTCGGATCTATTTTGATATGAATTTTTAAAAATTTTTTA